GGAAATATAAAATTTGAATAGCACCTATTAAAGAAAGTATATTTCTAGCTTGAAAACCTACCTATATGACAACAGCAGGCTCATAAACATTTTAACTAATAAATTTTATCAAACGTTTAAAGCAGGGAAAAAAAAGGAACACTTCTCCCCTCATTTTAGGAAATCAACATTGTGCTAATCCAAAAACTGGATAGACAATAGAAGAAAAAAGTATGAAAATAGATAGAAATTTGTTTAACAAAACAAACTATTAAAAAGTCAGATCTGGCAGTATGTAGAAAATGGTTTTATTATAGGGATGGCAGTGTTGGTTCAGCATTGGAAGATCCACCACCAGAAGTCATCATTTTAACAGAGGAAAGGAAAAAGCCATATGATCCTGTAACTAGTTGGGGAAAAAGTATTGGACTAAATTCTACAGCTGTTCATGGTAAAATCTATCAGGAGACTAGAAGTAGAACAGAATCTTCTCAACACATCAAAGACAGATACTCCATACTTCCAGCAAAAACACCTCATATGAATGGAGAAGATACAATGCTTTCTCTCTAAGGTGGGGAACAAGGGCAGATATGCCTACTCTTCATCTGTCCATTAAAATTTGAAACACAGACATAAACCAAAATAGTCTGGCAATAAAATGACACAATTAGGATAGGATTGGCAAGGTAGAAGTAAAATCTTTATATGTAGATGAAATGATCATCTACAGAGAAAATATCTCTAAGAGGTCCTAGAACTTGTATTTGAATTTAGCAGGATTAGAAAACACAAGGTATATATATAAAAATTCAGATCTATGTATACTTGCTATAAATGAAGAATTGGATATTGAGATTTAAAAGTTATGTAGGAGTACAAAGGACCTAGAAAAGGAAAAAGGAAAAAAACCCAGTGTTGGAAGGCATTTAGTACCTAATTTTAAGACTTCCTCTAAAGCTACAGTAATCAAGGCAGTGTTGGTGTAAGGAAAGAGATATAGATCACTGGAATAAAACAGAGAATCTAGAAATAGAACCACACATATATGGTCCAATGAGTTTTGAAAGATTATTTAACATTAACATTTCATACAACATAAACTCAATTCAAGAGCAGAGGAAAAGATAGTGTTTTCAGCAAGTGGCACTAGAACACCTGGTATCCATATATAAAAAATTAACCTCAACCCTTTATTTCCATACATAAAAATAACTTGAAAGGATCTATGAACTTAAATATGAAGGACTAAAACTATAAAACTTTAAGAAGAAATTATAAGGGAAAATATTTATGAATTTAGGGTACGCAAGAACTACCTAGGATACAAAAAACATGATGTATAAAAGAAAAAAATTGATAAATGAGAGTCCATCAAAATTTAGAACTTTAAATGACATTGTTAAGAAAATGAAAAGTAGTCCTTAAACAGACCATATTTATAATGCATATAACCTATGACCAGAATATATAAAGAACTCTTACAGCTCATTAATAGACA